GTATCTTTTCAATATGTCGAACGTTTCCTGCAAATGTTTCAAATGGTCCTCTGCTCGTATGGACTTCACTAACATGTCGTCAATATAAACTTCCGTTGATTTTCCTATCTGTTCTTCGAACATCCGATTTACTAGGCATTGATAAGTGACACCGGCCTTCTTTAATCCGAATAGCATTACATTGTAACAATAGGTGCCGCATTTAGTGATAAAGGAAGTTTTTTCTTGATCGCCCGAGTCTATTCGAATTTGGTTGTACCCGGAATAGCCATCAAAAAAATTGAGTATCTTGTGCCCGGCTGTAGCGTCGATCATTCGATCGATGTTAGGGAAAGGAAAAGAATCCTTAGGGCATGTCTTGTTCACATCTTTATAATCCACACACATTCTTAGCTTATTTCCTTTCTTAGGTACTACCACTACGTTGTCTAACCAGTACGGGTGCTTAACTTCCCGAATGGATCCTATTTTAAAGATTTTAGATACCTCATCCTAGATGAATGTATGCTTGACCTCAGACTGCGGTCTTCTTTTTTGCTTATCAGGATAGAACTTTGGGTCCAAACTTAGCTTATGAATGGCTACCTCTGGCGGGATCCCTGTCATGTCAAGATGAGACCAAGCGAAACAATCTATGTTAGCTACAAGAAATTCAATGAGTCTTTGCCTGAGCTCGGGAGTTAACCCCGTGCCCAGGTATACCTTCTGATCGGGTAAGTGTTGATCAATATGACTTGCTCCAGCTCCTCAACCGTCGATTTGGTGGCATCTAAATCATCGAGAGTAATGAACGACCTAGGAATTTCGTAATCATCCTCTTCGCCTGCTCCCCCCTCTTCTGGTTCGGTCGGGGCCCCAATCATCGGTTATTGCTATTTAATTTATTCCTTCCTTGTCGGCTCCGTGTTATTTGATGTCGAGACCACGGGCACTGGGATCACCTTTTCGACTGCGAATATTTCCTTTGCGGTCGGCTGCTTCCTGTAGACTGTCTTGATTCCTCCCGGCGTAAGGAACTTCAGTGCCTGGTGTAATGTTGAGGGTACTGCCCTCATGTTGTGAACACATAGCCTTCCGAATAAGGCGTTATACCTCAAGTTCGATTCAGTTATGTAGAATTTTGTATCTTGAATAATCCTGGCGGTATTCATCGGTAGGGTTATTTCTTCTTTAGTAGTTTCCCATGCCATGTTAAGTCCGTTCAACACTCGGAACACCGACACTATTTGATCCTGTAAACCCAACTGCTCTACAACTTTCGATCTGATGATGTTGGATGAGTTGCCTGGATCAGTCAATACACGCTTAACTTGAGATTTGTTGATAAGTACGGATATCAATAGTGCATAATAATGAGATTGTACAATGCCCTCGGCATCCTCATCACTGAACGAAATGGTTCTCTCCGGGATGTAATCTCGGGTGCACTTTTCCCTCGTGATAGATATTTTAGTGCACTTTATCATTGGTCCTTGGGGGACATTGACCCCTACAATGATCATGCTTATGACGTGCTGAGATTCTTCTTGTTCGGTATGTTTGTTGGAGTCTTTGTTCCAGAAGTAATTTTTGGCTCGATCACTCATAAACTCTCGGAGGTGCCCGTTATTGAACAACTGAGCAACTTCTTCTCTCAATTGTCGGTAGTGCTCGGTCCTTTGGCCATGAGTGTTATGATACTTACACATCATGCTAGGATCTCTCAGGATAGGATCGGACTGCAATGGTCGAGGCCACTTAGTTTCCTTGATGCACCCAATGGCCAATAAGATGCTGGCTGCATCAACGTTGAAGTTATACTCTAATAGTGTTGGTGTTTCCCTTCCCTCGAGCAGCCTGTCAAAACTATTCTTGCTTATCAAACCACGGGTATTGGTCCCATGGTCGCTTCTCTTCTCATTCCTTATGGGATTAAGCTCGTGCCCGCATCCCCTCCGATTTGCACTGTACGGCTAATACCGATCTCAGACCAGCCTTGATTCATGATCGACGACTCTCTTAGGTCTGTCTTCGGTTCTAATGGGATAAACGAACCTATAAGGGGCGCTGAGTTGGTCATCCTCAACTCTGATTTTTACTGGTATCTATTGTGAACGTCGGCCCAAGTTACCGTCGGGTACTCTAAGAAATTTTATTTCAACTGCTGCGAAGCCAAGTAGCTTCGGGGGGTTATGTCTTTGAGTGAATGTCTGAACGGCCCAATCGTCCTCAACCGGAGGCAAGTCCATCCGTTCCATTTGAAACCTTGACACGAACTCCCTAAGCATCTCATTTTCCCTTTGCTTACTTTGAAAAGGTCTGATTTTCTGGTCTCGACCTTGATGGCCTCGGCATGAGCCTTTACAAAAGCATCCGCGAGCATAGTGAACGAATCAATGCAATTTGTGGGCAGGTTGTGGTTCCATATCATTGTTCCTTTTGACATAGTTTCCCCAAACTTCTTTAATAACATTGACTCAATTTCCTCATCTTCCAAGTCGTTACCTTTGATGGTACATGTGTAGGAGTTCACATGCTCATTCGGATCCGTGGTTCCATTATATTTTAGAATGTCGGGCATACGAAACCTCTTAGGAATTGCCTACATTGCGCTTGGAGGAAAAGGCTCTTGGACAAATTTCTTGGAGTCCGGGCCTTTCAATATCGGGGGCGCTCCTAGAATTTGAGCAACCCAGGAATTATACGTCTCCACCTTTTTGTCGTTTGCCTCAATTTTCTTTTCAGCCGATTCCACCCCCCCTTTTAATACTTCAAGCATCTTCATTACTTCGGGACTGACACCGGACCCAGCTTCACCCAGCCTTTAGGTGATCTGCTCATTTCTTCGAGTATTTTCTCGGGATGGTTCTAGCTCAACTCGGCTGGGAGCGCGGCTTTGATTTTGCAACAGTGCTATGCTACCTGTTGAGCCTGTAACATTTCGAAGATCAATCGAGATTGACCCTGTCACCTTCGCCTTTGGGTGCCGCTCGGACCGTTGATCGGGCTCCTCTGTGAACGTTGTTCTCGGGGTCGGTAGGCAGGTTGGCATCCATGGCCACCTGCGAGTTAGCATCGACTAGGTTTACAACTGGGACTCCGTTGGGATCAACAGGGGGCATCTCATTACTAGGCACCAAATTGTTATTTTCGCCATGATGGCCAGACCCATCCTCAACGTTCAAGTGAGCAGACTAAGAATTTGATATTTTTAAGTTGACCTGAAATTGAGACCTTAAAGAACAAGTGTAAAATAAAATGTGTTATGGAGATTATATCAAAACACCACTATTATCCTTAGCCCCACCGTGGGCGCCAAACTGTTTACCCTTAAAACGGATAATAATTAAATTTGTATGCGGTTTTAAGAATATGTGGATTGATTCAATACAAGTAATCAAGAATGTTAGATAAATGAATTAAGGATAAAATAAATAACCAAACCAGTTGTGACATTTAGTCCGGGCTTCGATTTAAGCTGAACAATAATTTTGCTCCCGATTCGAAACCAAATGTATATGAAGAAATATAATTAAAATAAGAACCTTTCAATAGTAGAGAAATAAGTTTGTATTGCCTTGATAAGTGTATCACAATATGTTCATTGAATAAAAAACTTCCCCTTTATATAACAGAGAAGTTTTACCCCTAGTACAATTCTAAAAAAGATAACAATCCTCCTTGTACATCAATCACTGATACACTGCCGAGATCTGCGACGTGATATCCGGTTGGGTGCGGATATCACGACCCTCTATTAGTCGTGTGCAACTGTTTGCAGTGCTTTCCGAGGTCTCAGAGCTCATTTCGGGTTTAGGGGTGTCGTGTTGTCAGACCCAGTGGTGAGCACCCCGTTCTACCCTCGACTCAAAGGGTCCTCAGATTCGGTCTCTACCTCATACACTCACACTTCTTACTTCGTTTTTACTCTCCGGGAACTCGAGGCATGCGCTAACCCCGAGTTCACCTGTATACAGATATAGCGTATAGATATTTTTGAACTCCTTTCATACTCAAGCAACATTTTTTTCTCTTTGTCGATGTTTTTGCATAATATTTAATAATTAAAAAATATTTTATTAAATACTATATATGTCTCTCTTTTAATAATAATATATAGTAGAATATATAGAATCCTCCCCCCCCCCCCCCCCC